AGCCCGTCCCTGGGAGTTGAAAGTGATCTGGGCCTGTAGTTTTCCTAGTACGTCATGGCCCATTAGAGCCACGGGGCAGTCAGGGAGGTACAGAAATTCATTGATGACTTCATGGCCACCTAAACTGCATCGTCGAGGTAACAGGAAGGGACGACGTATCTGGTCGCCTGTGGCCCCCACAATGGTGGCTTGTCTCCGTGAGAGGGGGCCCACGGGTTGGTCACAGCTGAGTGTTGTACTCCAGTATCTACCATAAAGTCAATGGGTCAGCCCCCCACCTTCATTCTGACCAGGGGCTCCCGGGGGCCTAGTAAAATAGAGCCCGGTCTGTCCTAGTCCTCCTCATAGTCTTCCATGGTGGCTAGTCCCACAAAATCATTCTTGGGGGCCCCTTGAGGCTGCGGGGCAAGTTGGTACCGGCCCTGGACCATACAGCCCCTTTTTTTTTCTGCTTAGGACCTTGCTGAGAATCATCTGGTCTCTGGGGGCACTCACCTTTCCAGTGGCCCTCCTGACGGCACAAAGCACACTGATTCCAGCCTAGTTTCGATCTAGGGCGAGACCCCCCCTCCCCGCTGCTCTCCTTTCTGGATTTGGCCCTTTCCCTGCGGGGCTTTCTTCTGGGGGTGTCTTGATTGCTTCGCCAAAGCGGCAGCTAATAAATCTGCCTGTGTTTGCATCTTTCGGCGTTCTTCCTTCCGTGCTGCCTGGTCACAGTTAATGAACACCTGGGTTGCTTCTAGCAACTGACTGATATTCATGCCAGTGAAACCTTCTAGTTTTTGCAGCTTGCACCGAATATCTCCCTGGGCCTGGCCTACGAAAGCCGCATTAATCATCCTCTGGTTGGCGGGCGCTTCTGGATCAAAGGGAGTATAGAGACGGAATGCCTCACATAATCTGTCATAGAATTGGCTCGGGCTCTCCTCCGGCCCTTGGAGCACTTCTGATGTTTTACTCATATTTATGGCCTTTCCCCCCCCCCCCGTTCTTTACACCATTTAGAAGAGCTTCTTGATATCGTTCAATCCTTGTAAGCCCTCCATCTACACTTAAGTCATTTGGGTCCCATTTGGGGTCCTCCCCCGGGAAGTGAGCCCGTGCATAAGCTTGGGGGTCTAGTGTCCCAGCTGGAGCATTTTCCTCTAACCGTTTTGTAGCTGCCTGAATAATTCGGCAACGCTCCTCTGTATTGAAGAAAGTTAAAAGAAGTTGGCGGCAGTCTGTCCAGGTGGGTTTGTGGGTTTGAATTATGGACTGCATTAAGTCAATCATAGCTTGGGGCTTCTCCGTATAGGAGGGGGTATGGTGCTTCCAATTCAGGAGATCCGTAGTGGTAAAGGGCTGGTACATGTAAATACTCTGGCCTCCTTGGTTCTGGCCTTTCTGATCATAATAGATAGGACCCCTAATTTCCCTCAGCGGCATCTGTTGGGCTCCTCGGTGCGGCTGTAGGGAAGGGCTGTCTTTATTGGCCTGATTCTCTGGTCGCCTCCGTTCAGGAGGTGTATGGGGGTTTAAGATTGGTGGTTTGGGTGAGTCAGTCACACTTGGGGAGGTCGGTGGTGCGAGGGGTGGTAAGGCTTTGGGGCTGGGGGCAGACTCCGATGAGGCTTCTGCAGTTAGGGCTGCTGGAGGCACAGGCGGCAGGGAGGGGTACAGTGGGACATATGGTGGC